GAGCACCAAGCATTGGCTCCTGGAGACAGACACAAAGGGGCGAAAACCGCGAAATCAGAAGTTGGAGTTCGAGGAAATTGGCGTAATAACCTCGAACGTTCCATTGAAGAATGGACAACGACGAGAAGAGAAAGGACAAAAACAGAGAACAAGGAAGAAACAAAGGCGAAAGAGCAACAGAGCACGTTAAAGAATATCAGGGTCAGCAAAGTCAGGGTTAGGGGGCATGGGTAAACTGAGTAAAGACGGAGGGAAGGAAACGGGAGAACAGATCAGAGGCGGGCGGGCATGGTCCGGAGGAGGAGGAGGAGGAAGAGGAGGAGACAACGGAGAGGAGCGCTGCTCCAGTAAATAACATCATAATCTAACATCACTTCCACCACCAAGCAAGTATTGTTTTATTTGTGCAATCTACATTAACTGACTTGCACTGTGAGAATTAAAACATCACAAAGAATTTATCTAAACCATCAAGAGTGTTCATAAACGCCTCCTTCCCTATTTAGCTTTAATAAATAAATATAATTTATGCTCGAACCCTCACGGTGAGCTACTGCGCATGCGCGACTTTCGGGAAGGACGGGAGAGGATTCTCGCCATATTCGATCAACAAGCGTGATGGTGCTGAAGCGGTCCAACAAATCTTGCCATCCTGACGGCATCCTGATATTCCTAGATGCTGGATTGAGGACGCAGCTTACCAGAATCACGGACACCAGTTCGGCAGGCATTTTTACCTCATTTGTTCTATTTAACGAGCTCTTAAATAAGATCATGTAGGGGCCATGTCGTTATGCTTGGGGCGTAAAAAATAATCCCATCATGGTGCAACACCCTTGAGGAAGCGTGTGACCGCCATAACCTCACGTGCTCCAAGTATCACTATCTCAAACTGTTTCCAGACTGGCGTACAGTGGACTGCATCTAAGTCCCTCTGTCACAGCTGAGATTAATCAGTTTTCATTGTAGATAGTACCTTATTATTCAGAGTCCATATATATATATATATATCTTATACTGCCTTTTATGCATTATTAATCTTCACATTGCAGTAGTATTTCTTGCATTACATAATTTACTCATTATCTGTGTGTGCATATTATACTTATTATTGCATAATATATGTTACACAGATTAATCCCGTAGAATACCCCCCCCCCCCAAAAAAAAGTCATGGGAGGCTGGCTCTAGAATTATCTAATTTACAGTCATTGCTTAATATAATTTATTCACATAATCATAGATCTATAAGCCACTGATTTTCTCATTTCATTACTCCTTCTGGTCCTTCGAGCTATCTTAGAATTAATCATTATTTTGCATTCTTAAAATTATATATTTTATTAGTATTATACTGGAGCCAGAATTCCCCACACTTGCAGACTGAAGGGGCGATAATGCAGGTGTAGGTCAAGCCTGACGGGCTCATTAGAATACGAAACTTATTTAGAATATTATGCCCACATAGGCTGATCAATTAAATCCTGGAGTGTAAGAGCGTGTAAGTGAACAGTGAGAGAGAGAGAGCATTACGATGCTGCTTCTTTATCCCCCCCCCCCTTTTAGTAGTTAACTGGGAGGGTGTCTAATCAAGGGAAGCAGAAGTCACCACAGGTTAAGTGGGAGATATCCCTGCCACGCAAGTAGCAGACGGAGGGACAGAACTGGAACCAACAAGGCAGGAACTGAAGCCGACAGAGCGACCCTTTGGGAGAGGGGTGAAATCGAATTTCCAAGATTCAACGACTCAAGGGCATGGTTGCCTATCAGTTGAATCTGATGGGAGTAGAAATGTCAATTACCACAAGAGTACCAAGGTACTCTTGGTAGGGCCCCGGAGCCATAGGATACCACCTACTTTGGCAGCTAAGGAGGCAGTGTGAGAAGAGTGCGTCGTCCCAAGCAGTTCTCTCCCCCCCCCCCCTTTTCAACAGTGAATTGAAATATCAGAGGTCCAATACACCTTGCTACGAGGTAGGAAAGTGTGCCAAAGCAACGCACACCAGCCAGAGGGATGCGTACGAGATCCAACCTACAGTTTAAAGTAAACCAAATATATAGGTCTCCATGTACGGTAAATGCATAGGTGGCAAAGTCAAATATCTGTGGGTGGATTTCGCCTGAGAGGAGTGGCGCAGAAGTCAGACTCGACCGCCCAAGTGGGGCAGAAAGGAGCCCCCGTAAAACATCGAGGAAACACCCATGATTGGTTGTAGTAGTAGAGTAAATGTAATTTTTAATTCGGCTGGAAAATCCTCGGGAATGATGACGGGGGGGAGGGACCGTTGACAAGCTACCGGTTTCCTAGCTGTCCCCGTCGAGGTCACTGGAGATGGTGCCCCTCTTGAGAAATTCAGGTAAGGTTGGAAATACTTTAACTACAGAAATGGTTAATCCAAGACTTGAGAGATATTGGATTAAAAAAAATTAAAGTATGATGGAGAGATTTTAAAGTTAATAGTAAATAAATCATACAACTCAGGTTTATTAATTTAAGATAGTGTGCTCATCTTTAATAAAGATAAATTTGAGAGCAAGAAGAGAACTCGGTAAAATAATTATGGGTAGACGTGGATAACTGGGTATAGATGCTATGTAACAAGATTTAGCGCATAGGTGTGTGCCTTTAAAGAGTGTCCTGGTAGTACAGTCAGGTTCGTTCTACTCTCAATCAAGAATTCCAGCTTCGAATCCCGGGCGGCACAAATGGTTGGGTGCATGTCCCATCACCTCATAACAGTCTTCCTAGCAGTAAATAAGTACTCAGTCAGCTTGTTGTAGGGATGTATGCTGGGGAGTGTCAGTAATTCAACCCTTGGGGGGGGGGGTGCTCAATTCAAGCCTAATATACTATGTACAAACTGGCTGTCTGTCCCATGACAATGAATTAAGAGTTATGACCAACTAATCCTCATTTCCTCTGGTCTGTCTCGTCACCACGAAAGCCGCAATCTGGCCATTAACCATTTAGTTAAAATATATAAAATTGTATAATAAGAAAAATTACCATGTAATCAATATTATATATTTTACATGATGACGCCTATCTCTTAATATCGTATAGCCTAACTGTCAAGAGTTAGCATGACGGCCTAAGGCAACCATACCATGTTACATTCGACCAGTGTGGCAATGCAAGATTTAAAAACAATGCAATATATTTTATAATTTTTTATTATCAAACCTTTGGCATTTTCCTTAAATCCTCTTATAAAATAAGTTGTTTAAAAATCTGGTAAAATTGTTATATAGTCATTAAATACAAAATTGCACAAGCTATTATCAAGTATTAGTAAACTACTGAATTTGCTAGCTACTCAAAAAACAATTACAATTATTTCGTCCAAATATTAATGTAACAACTGCTCATATAATTACAAAAACATTTTGTATAGCACAATTATATTCCTGCACTTGAGGTTGTGACACCAATACCGTTATTAATAACCAGTATCCAAATTCTTTGTTGCCTTAAAAGTTTAAAACTGAATACTAATACATCGCCCAGACAAGATTCGTACAAATTACTGTATATTGCCGTGAGCCATGTATAGCACGCCTACATTCCTATACTATCACAGTAGACACATCCTTGGGTCTACTACAAAACACGTCACCATCTCCAGGGTGTTATGGCTATATTGACGTCTACCAGTCTCCAGCCAGAAGACCGTCACCTACAAGCACTTTACAGCCTGTAGCGGCCACTTGTTCCTAGAGAGCAACTTAGCAACACGTCACGTGGAAAGCTGTTAAAGTAAGTAAGTAATTATCAAAAGAAGGCACCAAACCGGGAAGGCTATGTAGCACCATCAAAGGAAAGCTGTTAAAGCTAGTCCTCTTATTTACACAATTTCGGGATTTTCTAATACCTCCTTTGGCAATGAAGATCACATTATACAATTATATAATACAAGGAACACCGTTTCCCAGAAATTACTGTAAATATGTATTTCACAATGTACCCTAGGAGAAGGAAAAACATTCTTTACAACAACGCACAACTTCGTTATCAGCAAAACACTTCTAGGCTCAATGCAACGAAGACCAAATGAAAATTTATTCCTGAATGACTTTATACCAGTTTGCAAAACACACACGCATTACGAACTTCTAATATAATGCTACCCAGTAAATTAGTGTTATTGGTAATTAAAGATTCATGTACCAAGCCCATATATACTTATGGAACATAATGGGCATGTGAACGTTTAGGGTACGAGTTCCGGACGTGAATGCAGATGCAGACGTCATTGGGCTGTATTTTGCTTCATAACCTCCTTTCTATCTACCGTCCCCCTAAAAATCTTCCATTGTCAGCAGCCCTGAAGTAATGCGAGTTAAAATTTATCGTTTATGAAAAATTTGTTTTGCAAAATATTTCGACACGGCATTAAACAATAATAGTTAGAGTAATTGAAACAAGAAACAGAAAACCAAAGTACCGTACTTGCTATTTTAAAACCACCACTACGTGTTAAAACTCACGAATTTTGCGCGTGATTTTGTTCACCTTAACTATTCTGTGTGTACTTTCCTAATAATATATTTTCAGCTAATTGGAAAAATTTTCAGCTCATTCCTGCGAGGCCAATTACATATTCAGCAATACGCGTTTGTTTCTGAAGAATCCCTTCGGTACTTCCAGCTAATTTCATTATGAAATCCACCCCCCCCCAATTTATTACGAAGCCTAGTTTTTATAAGATTTATACCTGCTAAACAAGTAACTAAAAAACCGTGTTTAAGGGTTGCTGTAGTTACTCTTCTCAGAAGAGCACCGACGAGAAATGACGTGCACACATTAACATACCATACAAACTTATGTGCAGCATGCATAGCTAGTGGCACCAACAATGGAAACATTTGTGGTGTATTGTAGCAACTCCTGACCACGTGGCCCTACTTTACAACCTTCGCTTCTTGCACTTGTGGCGATTCTCGAGGTGGTTAAGTGGGCGCACTGCTATTATAATATCAATAAAGCATTAAAAACTGACCTACTTTAAACCTTTACAATGATTAGTCGTAATGTCATGCCTTACTGAAGCGCGGGCGGCGGCGCCCGACGGCGTGCGGGCGGCGGCGCCCGACGGCGTGCGGGCGGCGGCGCCCGACGGCGTGCGGGCGGCGGCGCCCGACGGCGTGCGGGCGGCGGCGCCCGACGGCGTGCGGGCGGCGGCGCCCGACGGCGTGCGGGCGGCGGCGCCCGACGGCGTGCGGGCGGCGGCGCCCGACGGCGTGCGGGCGGCGGCGCCCGACGGCGTGCGGGCGGCGGCGCCCGACGGCGTGCGGGCGGCGGCGCCCGACGGCGTGCGGGCGGCGGCGCCCGACGGCGTGCGGGCGGCGGCGCCCGACGGCGTGCGGGCGGAGGCGCCCGACGGCGTGCGGGCGGAGGCGCCCGACGGCGTGCGGGCGGAGGCGCCCGACGGCGTGCGGGTCTTAGCCATGGCGGATGTAGTTGTACCTGGATTACGATCCCTGACTTTCCCCGAGGTAACAGCCCCGCCATGAGTGCGAGCTCTGGCCCTGACTGAGGTAGCAGCATCTGGAGTGTGATCCCTGACTTTCGCAGAGGTAACAGCCTCTCCATGAGTGCGAGCTCTGGCCCTGGCTGCGGTAGCAGCACCTGGAGTGCGAGCTCTGGCCCTGACTGTGGTAGCAGTACCTGGAGTGCGAGCTCTGGCCCTGACTGTGATAGCAGTACCTGGAGTGCGAGCTCTGGCCCTGACTGCGGTAGCAGTACCTGGAGTGCGAGCTCTGGCCCTGACTGTGGTAGCAGTACCTGGAGTGCGAGCTCTGGCCCTGACTGCGGTAGCAGTACCTGGAGTGTGATCCCTGGCTTTCGCAGAGGTAACAGCCCCACCATGAGCGCGAGCTCTGGCCCTGGCTGCGGTAGCAGCACCAGGAGTGCGAGCTCTGGCCCTGGCTGCGGTAGCAGCACCTGGAGTGCGAGCTCTGGCCCTGGCTGCGGTAGCAGCACCAGGAGTGCGAGCTCTGGCCCTGGCTGCGGTAGCAGCACCTGGAGTGTGATCCCTGGCTTTAGCAGAGCTAACAGCCCCTCCACGAGCGCGAGCTCTGGCCCTAGTAGCGGCAGCAGCATCTGGAGTGTGATCCCTGGCTTTAGCAGAGCTAACAGCCCCTCCATGAGCGCGAGCTCTGGCCCTAGTAGCGGCAGCAGCATCTGGAGTGTGATCCCTGGCTTTAGCAGAGCTAACAGCCCCTCCATGAGCGCGAGCTCTGGCCCTAGTAGCGGCAGCAGCATCTGGAGTGTGATCCCTGGCTTTAGCAGAGCTAACAGCCCCTCCATGAGCGCGAGCTCTGGCCCTGGCTGCAGTAGCAGCACCTGGAGTGCGAGCTCTGGCCCTGGCTGCAGTAGCAGCACCTGGAGTGCGAGCTCTGGCCCTGGCTGCAGTAGCAGCACCTGGAGTGCGAGCTCTGGCCCTGGCTGCAGTAGCAGCACCTGGAGTGCGAGCTCTGGCCTTGGCTGCGGTAGCAGCACCCGGAGTGCGAGCCATGGCCCTAGAAGCGGTAGCAGCACCCGGAGTGTGAAACATTACCCTGGCAGCGGTAGCAGAACCTACTGCAGCAACCTGTGGACCACGAACCAAACGTCCAGAAGTTGGGTGTTCGACTCCAGTTAAACTGCGGCATTTTAAGCCCTTTGCAAGTAAATTGTTATTGCCACATTTCTGTGGGCTGGGAGACGAAATTTCCTTCTTTAATTCATCGTTGTCCTTTAGCTGCTGTTGGAAAACATTCACTTTGCCTTTTATCTCCACCTCTTCCTCCTGCAGGTCATCGCGGACAGTCGAATCGTCGTTTTCGCGATACTGCTGCAGATCGTTGGCAGCCAAGTCTTCATGCCGCTGAAGGTCGTCGTGGGCAGCCAAATCGTCCCGCTGGTCGTCGTGGGCAGCCAAATCGTCCCGCTGGTCGTCGTGGGCAGCCAAATCGTCCCGCTGGTCGTCGTGGGCAGCCAAATCGTCCCGCTGGTCGTCGTGGGCAGCCAAATCGTCCCGCTGGTCGTCGTGGGCAGCCAAATCGTCGTCCTGTTGCTGTCGGTCGTCGTGGGCAGCCAGGTCGTCGTCCTGTTGCTGTCGGTCGTCGTGGGCAGCCAGGTCGTCGTCCTGTTGCTGTCGGTCGTCGTGGACAGCCAGGTCGTCGTCCTGTTGCTGTCGGTCGTCGTGGGCAGCCAAGTCGTCGTCCTGTTGCTGTCGGTCGTCGTGGGCAGCCAAGTCGTCGTCCTGTTGCTGTCGGTCGTCGTGGGCAGCCAAGTCGTCGTTCTGTTGCTGTCGGTCGTCGTGGGCAGCCAGGTCGTCGTCCTGATGCTGCTGGTCGTCGTGGGCAGCCAGGTCGTCGTCCTGATGCTGCTGGTCGTCGTGGGCAGCCAAGTCGTCGTTCTGTTGCTGTCGGTCGTCGTGGGCAGCCAGGTCGTCGTCCTGATGCTGCTGGTCGTCGTGGGCAGCCAAGTCGTCGTCCTGATGCTGCTGGTCGTCGTGGGCAGCCAAGTCGTCGTCCTGATGCTGCTGGTCGTCGTGGGCAGCCAAGTCGTCGTCCTGATGCTGCTGGTCGTCGTGGGCAGCCAGGTCGTCGTCCTGATGCTGCTGGTCGTCGTGGGCAGCCAGGTCGTCGTCCTGATGCTGCTGGTCGTCGTGGGCAGCCAGGTCGTCGTCCTGATGCTGCTGGTCGTCGTGGGCAGCCAGGTCGTCGTCCTGATGCTGCTGGTCGTCGTGGGCAGCCAGGTCGTCGTCCTGATGCTGCTGGTCGTCGTGGGCAGCCAGGTCGTCGTCCTGATGCTGCTGGTCGTCGTGGGCAGCCAGGTCGTCGTCCTGATGCTGCTGGTCGTCGTGGGCAGCCAGGTCGTCGTCCTGATGCTGCTGGTCGTCGTGGGCAGCCAGGTCGTCGTCCTGATGCTGCTGGTCGTCGTGGGCAGCCAGGTCGTCGTCCTGATGCTGCTGGTCGTCGTGGGCAGCCAGGTCGTCGTCCTGATGCTGCTGGTCGTCGTCCTGTTGCTGTCGGTCGTCGTGGGCAGCCAGGTCGTCGTCCTGATGCTGCTGGTCGTCGTGGGCAGCCAGGTCGTCGTCCTGATGCTGCTGGTCGTCGTGGGCAGCCAGGTCGTCGTCCTGATGCTGCTGGTCGTCGTGGGCAGCCAGGTCGTCGTCCTGATGCTGCTGGTCGTCGTGGGCAGCCAGGTCGTCGTCCTGATGCTGCTGGTCGTCGTGGGCAGCCAGGTCGTCGTCCTGATGCTGCTGGTCGTCGTGGGCAGCCAGGTCGTCGTCCTGATGCTGCTGGTCGTCGTGGGCAGCCAGGTCGTCGTCCTGATGCTGCTGGTCGTCGTGGGCAGCCAGGTCGTCGTCCTGATGCTGCTGGTCGTCGTGGGCAGCCAGGTCGTCGTCCTGATGCTGCTGGTCGTCGTGGGCAGCCAGGTCGTCGTCCTGATGCTGCTGGTCGTCGTGGGCAGCCAGGTCGTCGTCCTGATGCTGCTGGTCGTCGTGGGCAGCCAGGTCGTCGTGGGCAGCCAGGTCGTCGTCCTGATGCTGCTGGTCGTCGTGGGCAGCCAGGTCGTCGTCCTGATGCTGCTGGTCGTCGTGGGCAGCCAGGTCGTCGTCCTGATGCTGCTGGTCGTCGTGGGCAGCCAGGTCGTCGTCCTGATGCTGCTGGTCGTCGTGGGCAGCCAGGTCGTCGTGAGCAGCCAAGTCGTCGTCCTGTTGCTGCTGGTCGTCGAGAGCAGCCACGTCCTGGTGTACGTGATGAGCTGCTCTATCTTTTACACGACGTCCACACATGTCACCTTCCTGATGAACATTACCCACAGTATCTTGCCCAATCATTGGCATGTTACTAACTTGTTTGGAGTAAAGAATTAGGTTCTCATCCAGGCGACTGTCCTGCGACAAAATTCTTGGATGCTTATGCAGATCCATAATATCCCCTTGTACTGCATCCTCTAAATTCTTCCTGTGTAAAAGAAGACTTTGACAACCGTCTTTAAACTGTTCCTTTTGGTGTGTAGTGTTGCACGTATCTCCATATAGGCCACTGCCTTTATGTTCAGAGGAATCTCCGATAACCATACAATCTTGTGTCTGATTAAATGTGCTAAGGTCGTTTCGAGAAGCACATTGACCAGAAGATGGTTCCCCAATTCTTGTATTTTTGTCATTGAATTGCTGCCAACGATTGTGATCACAGTCGGGAACTGTCTCTTTCGTGTTTTTACCCATCACATTTTGCACACCATGATAACTCTGCCTCCGAGCTGTATTTATAAGGCTGCGTTCGCAATTCTCTACTTGCTGAGCCTCGAACAACTTCCTCATATCCTTTACTTTACGGGGTGGGTCACTATCAGCTTTTTCACCGCAATTTGCGTTCATCCTATCTGTAATTTGCATCTGTCTTTTCTTGGTGGACTCTACCTCTCTAGTAACGACTAATTCACAGCTATCTGGCACGTCTTCACACTTATCCCGGTTTCCAGTGTTCTTCGTCCTCAGTGGCTGGCGGGGAGACACCTCATGCTGCTGCTGCTCAGGTCGCCATGGTACTCCAGCCACCTCGGCCAGGCCCAGCTTCAACTGGTGCTCCTCATCTCCTCTTTCAGCCATTGCAGCACCTGTAGAATACGTTCAGAACCGTACTTAATGGAAAATACTTTATAAAAAAGTAACATATGTATTCATACACCAACCCGTCCTCCTAAAAAGTTTCCCAACGTCAAGAAATTGTACTAAAAACGTGCCTTGTCCTAACCTACCAGAGGACTCAAAACAGAAAACGGGACAGTATGCTAATTGCTCGAGCCGCGTCCATTTTTCTAGTCTGACAATGTTTTGCCTTAGGTAGAGAATACGTCAAATTTCTACGTTCTATTAGGAGGACGGGTTACACACACAAATCAATAAACAGACTAACGCGTGCTGCAAAATACGGTCTAGATGGTATAATTAAGTTGGTATTTTGTCAGGGACAGGCAGCCTGTGAATATGTGTAAGTATGTCGTAGTCCCCCTCTCCTCCTAAGGCGGAACGACTGACATTCTCCCAGGATCCAACCCCACAACAGCTTAACTTCCGATACAGTACCTATTTACTGCTATGTGAACAGAAATTAGGTGATAGGGAAGCAATTCCAACCATTTGTCCCACCTGGGATTCGAACCCTGAATTCCCGGTTGTACATCGAGAACTAACCCAATTGTACTTTACAGGGACCCGACGTTCACTATCCCTGAACCATGGTCAGGATTAAAATAATTACATATTGATCAAGCTATTTATGGCCGTAACTCCCTATATTTTTTCCTTTACGCACGTGGGTACAGCAGTTTAACAGGCCTTCAGATCAAACCCAAGGAAAGTCTGTCCTTCCGTTATTATATATAATTAAAATCGTTGAAGTCAACATTTCATTCATCTAGATGATTTTTCTCTATGGTACGTGCAGTTTGGATGAAGGGTTCACCCTCGATGCCTGCACTAGTGAGACGCGTCAATGTGGCGCGCCTCTGTTTATTTGGAAATGCTTAAATTATTATTCTTTTCAGTAGATGTAGAGGCAGAGACTAAAAAAAGTGTTTTGGAGTGGGATGCACTTTAGGGCGAGGGCTGGATGTTATGTTTCTGGCGTCAGCTGATCGTTGGTGCTTTCGCAGTAAGGAATTTTATTCAATAGTTGTTGGTTTGAAGTAAATGCGCAGGTTAAATATGGCCCAATTTGTTGGTTGACCGGAGAACTTTAGCCAATGCTGTGGCTATTTGATATGTTAAGTAATGTCTCTCTTCCACCCTAATACAAGTTCTATATTGAAAGGCATTTTAAGGGTGATAAGTGTAGTTGTTTGAAATTAACTTTAGCACTATGATGTCGGAAGGAGTGAAGGAGGTAATATTAAAGGTGTCTGGAACCTGGCAGTGGATGCAAAGTTCATGTCTGCCCTGTATTTATAGTTGTGTAATACAAGTTTGGCGTGCCCATCCTTATTCTGGTCGTTGTTATATCTATTTATCTTTTTCTGACTGATGTTTCCAAGTCTCCCACCTCCTTAAATGGTTCCATAGCATAAGGAAGAGCATGACCCATACCATTTTTGCTATCAAGTCTTTGATAATGGTGATTTTAATGTACGTTCAAGCTCTGCATGTTTTCGTTTAGTATGGCTTGAATTGCACTTTTGGAGTCGCTACAGAGTATATCCCAATAGGTACTGTTGTAATTATGTAAAGAGCTTGGTTCAAGTCATAATTCAGCTGTGAATACAGATAGATGGTTTGACAATCGCCATAGCTGGTTGAGGTGGTATTGTGGGTTCCATACAGAGGGTTCATCGTGTTGTAGGACGTGTAATCTGTTTGAAATGCTCCGGTATTGGGGTAGTAATTTTTCTGTGGAGGCTGAGGCTATGGCCGATTCTCATGAAGACTTTAGTACGTCGTGTTGATGTTTTAGGAATTATGTAATGCCAAGGGGGAATTACAGGGAGGGGGGATATCTTTGATACCCCCCCCAGAGTCAAATAATGTGTAAACACACTGTGCAAATCTATGTAAATAAAGGGAAGGGGAGGGGAGACTAAGTTGAGGTTCAGTTTTGGAATATATATTTAAGTGTATACTAGCCCATGTTAGGAAGGATTATGAAGGGCTGGTGGGTAACCCTATTACTAGGGTTGACCCTACATAACCGGGGTCACAAGGCAGCTATCCTATTGTAGAGGAAAATTCTTGCACAAGTTTGAACAATCTAAGAAAGTACACAAGCCGATAGTTTCCAAATTCAGGCAAGCAAGGAATGGGAATTAAACTCACACCTAGCATAGTTGAACACTTCAATAATACTGGAATTACCAAACTAATCAGCATAACTTGGGTAATTAATGTTTAAATATATGAAGGGACTAATTTCCTGTCATGAACTATCGCTCATAGAACATCCACATTGGGATAATGCAGAATTGCTAAACTAGGAACACTATGATAATGTCACTAAAATTTAAAGGTTTAAATATTCTGTAGGGAGCAGAGGGATATTATATTGATACAGCAAACCAGACATGATAGGGCTCATCTCATCTAGACAATTAAAATTTTGAACAAGTTGGGAGGATATTAATCAAAACTACTACTATAAAAGTAGTTAAATTTATCAAAGGGCAAGAGTGTTAAGCTCAAGTCAACGTAGTACAGAAAACTGTTTTTGTTCCACCTTGGGGGATATAAACCCATTGAACCGCCCTTTCCCCCCCATCCGGCCGAAGCTGTAAATGTCAAGACATTACTCCAGTTTAAAACTCAGCTAAAAAAACACAGGAACAATCTAGGATTTTTGCAGCTGAAAAAAATCCCTCACATTACCCCTTTCCATAACAAACTGCCACTTTTACAATACTTTGTCCAAAGTATTGTAAAAGTATTTAAAAATATTGTAAAATAAACTCCCAAGGGATTGTCCCCAAACCACCGCTCACCATGTAAATTTCGGTTCCTAATACATCAAGGATCATTTTAGATCGCTTAAAATACCGCCGCTTTTAAAAGACCAGAGAAATGGGCCTAAACGGGGCTTAACCAGAGCAGGATATAGCCGAAGAGTAACATCAGGTATCTTATTACTAACGCTTCGATAAATAAATCCCAGTGTCCTATTTGCCTTATTACGAACACTTATGCACCGATTTTCTAGTTTTAAATTCTTACTACTAATAACTCCCAGATCCCTTTCGCAATCCTACCTTGCAATCTCAACACCATCTAGCTCGTATCTTGTAACTACCATCATTACCTAGCCTCAAAACCTAACATTTTTTGTGATATATACAAGAGTTGTTACATTCTTGTACAGCCACTAGTACGCGTAGCGTTTCGGGCAAGTCCTTAATCCTATGGTCCCTGGAATACGATCCCCTGCCGCGAAGAATCGTTTTTTCATCCAAGTACACATTTTACTGTTGCGTTAAACAGAGGCTACAGTTAAGGAATTGTGCCCAGTAAATCCTCCCCGGCCAGGATACGAACCCATGACATAGCGCTCGCGGAACGCCAGGCGAGTGTCTTACCACTACACCACGGAGACTGCTTAAAGAATTAATAAAGAATTAAGACTGATTTATCAGAATTAATCTGCATCTGCAAATATTTTGACCAATTCAAAACCCTATTTAGATCGTCTTTAAGTGATAGCGTGTCTTGTGTTTATTTCCCTCCCGATTTTTTTTTATCTTCGGCGAATTTGCAAATATTGCAGCTCAAACCCGAATCTAAATCATTGATATATACGCCGCACCCACTCCCCCTCCCCCCAACTCCGGCGACGCCGCACCCACTCCCCCTCCCCCCAACTCCGGCGACGCCGCACCCACTCCCCCTCCCCCCAACTCCGGCGACGCCGCACCCACTCCCCCTCCCCCCAACTCCGGCGACGCCGCACCCACTCCCCCTCCCCCCAACTCCGGCGACGCCGCACCCACTCCCCCTCCCCCCAACTCCGGCGACGCCGCACCCACTCCCCCTCCCCCCAACTCCGGCGACGCCGCACCCACTCCCCCTCCCCCCCAACTCCGGCGACGCCGCACCCACTCCCCCTCCCCTCAACTCCGGCGACGCCGCACCCACTACCCCCAAACACAGCAGCCGTCCTGCATGCCCCACCCCTAAGAAACCCACCAATTAGCCTGGCCCACCGCCGCCAGTACTTCCATTTTCCACGATTCTGCTTCAAGCAGACCAAGACTGGTCACTGTAGCACCACCCCTCAAAGCTCTGACGCCGCCTCTACACCTAATAGGAAGATAGAATTAGCCTACGCTACTCTATCCTTTTGAGATGTATTATATATATAAATGTACTTCAACTCTACGCATAATTAAAGTTGCCAACCACCGCTGCACCTCCATAACTCCAATAATGACTGACACTGCCACTAATATTCCCTTCACCCTACCCCGAACCGTTCACACAAATTCGGTTACCATCCATACCCCCTCCACAGGAGACATCTCCCGTCACGCAGGGACCAACCGCACCTCCACAGATCTCCAGTATCATCTATTGATACTGGTAATGGCTAAAAAGGGCCACCACTTACGGGCTATTCATGCCCGTGCCGCCTATTGGGTGGCTTAATCTTCTTCAATCATTAATCCACCCCCTCCCTCACAACCTCTACAGTCGCCGCTGCCACAACCACTCATATAAACAACCTGATGGTAATACTCATCAGAAGCCAAGTTATAACCTGATAAAGACGGCTTATTATACCTTCTCCTTGAATTCTTCACTACAACGATATAAGCGCTGGAACACCTTCAAAGTTTCAGAATATCGCCAAGAAAATTGGTCGTGTCTGGTGGTCTTGAGGAAGCAAAGCGTCTTATCTGGCCACGGGATCACTAACACATGTGTAGTGAATATGAAGTTTTAGAGAAATCAGAGGGCGCCACCAGACACTTTCATTGGTGTGTCAAGGACCGGTAAGCTAGGACGGTCCGGCAAGAGAAGTACTGTACGCGGTCAAGTGACAGGTTAGTATCGTTGCCGGTCAACAGGTGGTGCTGATAAGGGAACATTACTTTTCGCCCTCACTAATGTGTAACACCCTGCAGGAGTAAAGCATACAGTTGGTGTTTCCGAAATAAATGTGATGAGCTTATATGAAATGGAGTAATGCAAAAAACAGAATTGTGGATAGTCCTATTTGAATGAAATTTAACAGGTGGGTTGAGCGTAGATCTACCATAGTTTATCATAATATCATCAACACTCTGTTTTCTACTTTTATGAGACTATACCTGGATTGTACCTGGATGGGGTTCGGGAGTTCTAGACGCCAAGCCCAGCCCGGGTCCAGGCTTGACTTGTGATCGAGAGCTTGGTCTAACAGACTTGTTTGTAGCGGCTCGCAGGCTCAAATTTCCACCACAGCGCGGTTGGTCCGGCACTTCTAGAAGAAAAACTATCTAGTTTTCTCCTGAAGATGTCCAGGTTTGTTCCCCGGCAATATTTCTTATTCTCACTGGGAGGGTGTTGAACGACCATGGACTTCTGATAAACAGTGTTCTCAGATTGCACCTCTGCTCTTCACTGGTTCTATTCTGCATTTTCTTCCATATAGTTCACTCCAGTATGTTGTTATTTTACTGTGTAGATTTGGGACCTGGACCTAGATTCAGGAAGCTCTGTGTATTTCTTCGTAAGTGGGTTTGCTACGAAGGTTCCTAAGTGCGCCCTAAGAAGATGCTTAGGTGCGATTCAATAAGGTATACTTAGGAAGAAAATTGTTGGTTCACCTGCGTGCCGATAGAGGTCACTACAGTGTTTCGTTTGGCCAATCAGAGAGCAGCAACATTCTTCATATTGAAGATTTTTTTTTTTTTTTTTTTTTGAGATATATACAAGAGTTGTTACATTCTTGTACAGCCACTAGTACGCGTAGCGTTTCGGGCAAGTCCTTAATCCTATGGTCCCTGGAATACGATCCCCTGCCGCGAAGAATCGTTTTTTCATCCAAGTACACATTTTACTGTTGCGTTATTAATTAATAATTCTAAGAGCGTTAGAGTCTTTAAATAACAGACGCCAAGTATATCAGAATATTGTGATAGAGTGTAGAGAGAATGTTAAGAGACTAGAAAAAACTGGGTATAAAGTAAAATTCATGTGGATCCCTTCACATGTGGGAATACTGTTGAATGAGGTAGTTGATGACATAGCGAAGAGAGCCACTGAAAAAAACTCTTGTTGATGTTGTATGTCAGTTAACCTTGAAACAAATAAAAACAAGACTCAAGGTGATTCAGGAGGGTGAAGAAATGATAAAGAGAATGGCAATGGTGGACAGTAGTAACACACTTAAGAATTATTCAATAATAAATACAAATTCGTCCTTCACTTATGGTAAAGGAAAGTCTACTTGGAAGGATTCAATTTACATGAGATTACGATTAGGATATAAATATATCTGGCAATACGGTGTTGATGTCAGTGAAAAAGATAAGGAGTGTAAATTATGTAGTATGCCGTACGCCCACACCTTAGAACATTATGTATTAGAGTGTCACCTTATTGAAAAATATAGAAATAAGGAAATAAATAGTGTACCACATCAAATTGTTTGGATGTGTGATAATGGTATAATAGACAGTATACTTAGGAGCTACAAGAATTTTGCCCCAAGAATGTAACAATTATATGCTGTACTTGCTGTATGCAATGTTAAATGGGATTCTTGTACTGTTATATGTCTATTTGTACTCACTGAATTTGTGCGCCCCTTGAGGGACTTTAAGTAGAGGGGGGTAGAAATAGCCTAAGCTACTCTATCCCTTTGAGATGTATTTATTGCTTATCTCAATAAACATACTTGAACTTGAACTGAAGAGGACTACCACTTACGGGCCTACCTCAAGGTAACAATCAGGTGAGAACATAAAATATAAGGCTGATCTATTAGCCTCCGTTAGCAAAATCCGGGTACAGCATAAGAATATCTTCCAATATTCCTAAGTGTATGAAGTAATTACAGAGTTCAAAGTACCTTATACCATTTGGTCTAAAGTCACTTATAACAGGGCAATCACAGATATAGTGTTGGTGAGTATGTCCCAGCTCTTGTTCACATAGTTTACAATTGGAATATTCACCATTGGGGGCTATTCATTACCTGCAGCCACCTGCGATACATATCGATATCCTAGCCTAATTCTGGCAATTACAATGTCACACTGTCATTGTGACACTAGTGGAAGTTTTATGCTGTCCGTTCATATAATTCTCGATTCTAAATAACCGCTGCATTATGTAGGAATGCGGAGGAATTTCTGATGGAGGAGAAGACAGTTGCACAGCGCGATCCGCAGCGCAGCGCGCGGAGCGCCGCGGGGGGCCTATATATAGCAGAGAGGAGGGGTCATGCGTTCTTTCTTGTTCCAGCCTCGCTCCGCTTCACAAGTCTTAGAAAAAATTTTACGTTACAAATTTAATTATGTACTTCTTTAAGGCATTTAATTTCCTACTATTTACTCTTCTATTATGCATTAACTTATTTTCCGCTACATTATTCCCGTAATTACTTAAGGATTATGGACATTCGCTTTTTTGTACTTCCCTTATATGTTACACGGTTATTATTTATCCCGGTTATTCACTGATGTAATTAGGTATTCTATACTAATTCTAAAACCCTCTTTTGGTTGTTGGTACTTCCCTCATCCTGTAACGCTGTGCTACTAGAGGCTTTCCAAGTTTGTAATTACTACGCAATACTATGTATTCTCACAAACCAATCAGTCTTACCCTATCCTAACTTAATAAAAAATCTTAATCGCAATAGTTAATTAATTACGCTGCTTGTTTCTCCCAGTTTGGGGGGTGTTCTTCTTGGAATTGTTATTTACGGTTTAACGAGAAACCTTAAACATTGATGCCTTCCTTCTGTCATTACTTCGTCGTCACACCTTGGCCTACCCTACCGTAATTAGTTACTGTTCACATTTGTGCCTTCCTCTTATTTATTGGGGCACCGGGGTTTTTCTGGACTATATTTAAAACTACAATTATGAAGCCTTTCTAAATTTATTTGGTTACTTTTAGATTTACACCTATGCTTTAGATATTGGGAATTACTATAGGAAAATTAGTGCTGTAGGTATTTTCCCGGTAGCCGCATGTTTTTTTTTTCCAAATTTTTTTTTGGGGGGATATTTTCAAGAGGTGGCACGGGCATGTCTCCCGACATATGCTTGTTTCTTCGGCCTCCATTGTTCCATTCAATAATTTTATATAGGCAACCTCGACAGAGGGCTGCGTTGCATTTCAACGCTCCTTGTCTGCCATGGTATTTTTAATTTCGGGACTTATTGTAGGTCTTCTCTTACATTGCGTTATTCTTTCACATTCTTATTTTCAAAGTTTTCCTTTTTCCATTTGTACTCCAGTACGCATGGGGTTGTTACTTATTCTTCTTCTCTCCCTCATTCATTTTATTTATTGGTGATATTTTTGTTCTGGTCTGCATGACCACATGGGTTTGTCGACAATCAAACTCATTCTTTTCATTGGTCCAAATTCTTCACCCTGCCTTTGTTTTCATTCTCTGTTGGTAATTATTTTAGTTAGATGACGTTCATTAGCATTAATTAAGTTAAACGATTCGTTTATGTTTTGACAACTGGCGGAGATGGTACAACATTGTTGGCCTTAAATTATATTGGTGGGGGCTGTAGCCGTGTAGTAGCTATGTCGTTGCCAACTCACTTGCCCTTTTTCCCTCTTTTACACAGGGACGAGAATCAGGTCATCCCACCGTCTCCATCGAGGAAGAGGACACGGGTGGCCTCCACGAGAGGACACCAACGTGGAAGAGCAAGGACGCAGCCAGCAAGGACGCGGGCAAAGCCAGCTCGCTATGCTTCCCCCTCTTCGGGGACGTCATCGGGGGACTCGGAAGTGGAGGATGACCATGTACCAAGGATCAGACCAGCAGAAACCGCTGAGGCCGGAGCAACGTCACTACCGACAATAATTTCAGCAGAAGACTGGGCAACGCTACAGGCACTTATCACGCAGGCTCGGGATACCTCTGTGGACGCGAGCAAGCGCGACGTTGGAAACACCGTGGATGTCACTGCTGGGCAGACCTCCCCTATAGTAGGACGCCCGCGACAAAGAGCCAAGGGCGCCACATCACGGCGACACGACAGTTCCACCAGCACGTCCACGGACGGTGAGTACCATTTAGAAACCATGTCGAAGCCACCCTTCACCTGGCAGGGGGCACAGCAGGGCACATACATCCCACGGCTCGGCGAACACGTCCCTCATTCAATCAGAGAAAAGGTTTGGGCGGATAAGTACGTGGATCTCAGGGATATGCTAGGTTATGAAAGGGATGCAGGGCGCGTGGACACGCGACCTGCATCTGCCTCCGATACGCAAGTATCCGCTAAAAAGCTACCGCCTCTAACACCGGACCAGTGGGAGCATGCTTTTGACATATATGCAACGATCTACCTAGAGAGGCACCCGGAGGCAGGGCAGGAGCTGTTCACATACGTTAGATATGTAAAAACAATGAAAACGTCCCTCAGAGGTGACTGGATGTGGTACGACGAGGCTTTCAGGTGGGACAGGGAAAGGTCGGGCTGCCCATGGCGAGCTTACAGATTAGACCTGGAACTGAGGTCAGTACAGCGCATACAGCAGGAGGGACTTATGCGTCTTGTCCCGGGGCGAACGTCAAAAAATTTTCAAGTCAATGCTCGAGGCGCGGCAGTTCCCCCGGGCTACTGCTACGCTTTCCACACAAGAGGCCCGGGCTGCCGACAACCCACTTGTGCGTTCCAAAATTATTGCCCACGATGTTACAAGCGACACCCTGCCTACAATCCCTGCTCACAGGTGCGCAAAGGATATGGGGATGAGCGGCAACAACGTCGCCCCCCACAGGATCAGTATACAAAGAACACCAGAATTACAGATGTCCGTGGACGTACCAACGCCGGTCAACGCAGACTCACTTAATGTTTTACTGGCGGGTTACCCATTACGGGAATACATTGTGAGGGGTTTCAAAAGGGGTTTCCTACTTGGCTTTGAAGGGACGCGGTCCCCTCTCTCTTCAAGCAACCCTTCGGACACGACGGAACGCTCGCATATTGTGGGACCAATGCTAGACAAAGAATTAAGACTGGGACGAATCGCGGGACCTTTTGAGGTACCACCGCTCCCGAACTTTAAGTGCTCCCCCATAGCTCTGAGAGAAAAATCCACGCCAGGTAAGTTCAGGCTCTTGCATAATCTTAGTTTTCCTTATTCACAACTAAGCGTGAATGCCAACATTCCTAAGGCGTCTTCAACCGTGCACTACCAGAACATCAATGATGCCATCGAGTTGGTTGTCAGGTGTTCGCCAGGGGCGTTCCTGGCAAAGTGTGACATTGCAGAAGCATTTCGGATTGTCCCAGTACACCCGAGCGATTATCATCTCCTAGGTTTCCATTACGATGGGCGGTACTATTACGAGAAGATGCGCAGTATGGGAGCTGCCTCCTCCTGCAGGATCTTCGAGACTTTTTCAAGCGGTCTGAAATGGATCCTCGAGGAGAAGTTCAACGTGCGGGGTGTTGTGAAGGTACTTGATGATTTTCTCTTCGTCAGCAGTTCTTTTGAAGGATGCCTGCGTGACCTGCGGGTGTTCACCGCTCTGTGCGAACAACTGGGGCCTGGCGCCACACAAGACTGAGGGACCGTGCACTAGGCTTACGTTCTTAGGCATCGAAATAGATGCATGTAGGATGGAAACCAGACTTCCAGAGGACAAGCGGACGAAGTACCAGGCAGAAGTCGAGACGGCGATGGGGAAGAAGTCACTTCCCCTGCGAGACCTTCAGTCGATCATAGGTAGGCTGCAATTCGCCACATCGGTAATCCCGGGAGGATGGGCTTTCCTAAGACGACTGCACGCGCTCACTAGTGGGGTGCAGCGTCCCTCGCGTCTATGCTTACTGGACGCTGAGGCTCAGCTAGACCTTGTAGCCTGTATAGTAGTTCTATCAATGGGCGCGGACGCCTCTTCTAGAGGGTACGGGCACACCTTGGGGGCAGCATGGTTCAGGGGCATGTGGCCAGATTCATGGCGAAGGCTTAACATAGCCCTGCTGGAGCTTTATCCTTTCTATATGGGTATTTCCATCTTCGCTCAGGTATTGTCCAACAAGAGGCTAGTCTGCAGGTCTGATAATAGCGCTGTGGTAAATGTGCTTTCTTCACTGTCTGCCAAGTGTCCAATTCTTATGCAAATAGTCAGGCCTCTGGCCGTACTCCTGCTTACGCATAATATCACACTTCTCCCATCACACATTCCCGGCACGCTTAATACAGTTTGTGATGCCCTTTCACGCTTACAGGTCCTGCCGCACATGTTCCTCAGGGAAGCGGGCCTCGCAGAGAATCCAGTCGAAGTGCCGCAAAACTTACTGCCCCGCAACTTCGCCCTGCAACTTTGAGGACCCTACTCAATTCACTGCAACCTACAACACGGAGGGCGTATCAGGCAAAATGGGCGGAGTACGTGGCCTATGTCGCGGGGGAACGGCGTGGGATGCACCCTTTTGATGCCCCAACTTCAACACTTGCGAATTTCCTACAGTCTCTGCTTACGCGGGGTCTGGTCTACCGCTCGCTGAGCACTTACCTAGCGGCTATAGCTTTCATCTTCAAACTGAATGGTCCGAAGGACCCCACGCGTAAGTTTGTTGTCACTCAGCTGCTAAAAGGAGCAAGAAAAGCTGCGCGCCGGTCAACGATACGGCGTCTTCCTGTGACGAGGTGCCTATTACACCGTCTTCTACGAGCCCTGGGAAAAGTATGTATGTTGGAGCACGATAAAAAGTGCTACAGGGCAATTTTTTCCTTGGCTTTTCACGCATGCCTGCGCCCTGGGGAAGTGGTCTACGCCGCGAACGGTCAACACACTCTCCGGCTGGAACAGATAACACTCACAAGAACACGACTGGATATACTACTCGGTTCATACAAACACAGTGCGGGTCGCACGCCTACGCTATCTTTGAAGGTGAACACCAATAACAGGTACTGCCCGGTACGAGCCCTCTCAAAATACCTCGCCCTACGGGGTACGGCGCCAGGACCAATATTCCTCAATGCACACGGCGCCCCTGTGACGAGGCAAGATTTCTCTCGGATGCTACGAGGCACCCTGGCCGCTTTGGGTCTTCCTCCCAACGACTACGCCCCACATTCCTTCCGGATTGGACGGGCCACGCAGCTGTCACTTGACGGTCATCTACAGGACACGATTAAGGCCGTCGGACGGTGGAGGAGTGACATTTTTCACTCTTACGTCAGGCAAGATGTCATCTCGCTTCCTCATTGAAATGTTCCGCGGCCAGCGGGCACTCGCCCTTCGGGGGGGGGGGGGGGGTCCGGCCAGCTGGCTCTGAGGAGTGGGGGTGCAGCACCGGCCCCTAAGTATTACGCTGTCCGCAGCTACTTTCACTTGTAAGAGTATTGTTAAATTTGTCCTATAGGTGTATTCTACAGCTACTAGTAATTTACCATTTCACATTATGTCTGGGATTTGCCACATTATTTATGTCATGTGTTAGGCCACTATATGCTACTCTTTAAGCCCCGATTCTACTTAAAAATTATGTTAAACGTTTGCCTTACTTGTACCAATAGTTAATAAGGATTCCGCATTCTTCAGACCATGTTCTATTTAGTTACCGGATATAAGCATATATATTAATGTTATTAAGTCATTGTAGCCAAGTTATACATGTATTTATGCTGTTGTAAAATTATGGTCACTGCTTCGCAAGCGGGGATGTTTCTGGCGGGGGAGAAAGAAACAATTGCGCAGCGCGTCCCGCGGCGTTGCGCGGGCAGTTTGGGGCCGTATAAATACGGGCGCACAATGGGGCTCTGCCTCACTCCGCCTGCCCTCGCCGCTGCCCTCGCAAAAACCCACCCTCCCCCCCCCCTTTGCAAGCAGCTGCTTTTGTACCCCCGTCATGCTTTGCACAGTTGTCCCGATTGTCTCCCCACTGCATATGGGAAGGGGGGTGCAGCGCCGGTCCCCAAGTGTCCCGCTGTCCGCAGCTAATACTTTGCCCAGTCTAGGTGCTAGTAAGCCCTACTTGTAGTCACACCCCCTTCTCCTTATCCATTAGGTCTTTTACGGCCTCTTGGCCGGGTACATATACGTGTTATGTGGTCTCTCACTTATTAGTTATTCTTTGTGTCCTGCCTGTTATATCCTAGTGTTATATAATTACTACACATTTGCACTCGGCCTTAATTCTAGTACCAGTTAACCTTTAGGTTTCTGCAGAATTAGTTTCCATGTCACTATAGGCTAAGGTCTCATACTTACTACGGGTGTACCTTTTAAGTTAAATCTAGTCCTCGGACTTGGAATTGTTACTGTTAATTCTTACTTTATATATTTTATATATTTTAATATAAACGTTATATATTTACTTAATTTATATTTGTAACTTTATATATTTACATGTTCAATATTAAGTTTAATATAATATCAACTTTGTTATAAGTCTATAATATAAACCGTGTTTAATATAAACTTTATATAATTACTTACTTTATATATATTTGAACTTTATATATTTACATGTTCTGCAGAATTTAATCTTCAATAAACTTTAACGCCCCATACTGCCAGTATCTTTCTCCCCCTGGTCAGAAAATACAAGTTACCTGTTCATTAACATGGCGCCCCTTGAGGGACTTGAAGTAGAGGGGGGTAGAAATAGCCTAAGCTACTCTATCCCTTTGAGATGTATTTTTTTCTTGTCTCAATAAACATACTTGAACTTGAACTTGAACATGGTCTGAAAAAATTTAATTATTTTGTTACTACTAAAAAATTAAATAAATAGGTCCCAATGCTGTCGGTGTCTTATTCCTCCGTTATCAGAAAATAACCGCTGCATTATATAGGAATGCGGAGGAATTTCTGATGGAGGAGAAGACAGTTGCACAGCGCGATCCGCAGCGCAGCGCGCGGAGCGCCGCGGGGGGCCTATATATAGCAGAGAGGAGGGGTCATGCGTTCTTTCTTGTTCCAGCCTCGCTCCGCTTCACAAGTCTTAGAAAAAAATTTCCCACCCTCCTCCCCTTCCAATGTTCAGCGGCAATATAACCCTACGCACAGTACTATGTCTTTGTCCTTTATTGTTGGTCAACAGGGGGGTGCAGCACCGGCCCCTAAGTATTACGCTGTCCGCAGCTACTTACTCTCACTTGTAAGAGTATTGTTAAATTTGTCCTATAGGTGTATTCTACAGCTACTAGTAATTTACCATTTCACATTATGTCTGGGATTTGCCACATTATTTATGTCATGTGTTAGGCCACTATATGCTACTCTTTAAGCCCCGATTCTACTTAAAAATTATGTTAAACGTTTGCCTTACTTGTACCAATAGTTAATAAGGATTCCGCGTTCTTCAGACCATGTTCTATTTAGTTACCGGATATAAGCATATATATTAATGTTATTAAGTCATTGTAGCCAAGTTATACATGTATTTATGCTGTTGTAAAATTATACAAGTTACCTGTTCATTAACATGGTCTGAAAAAATTTAATTATTTTGTTACTACTAAAAAATTAAATAAATAGGTCCCAATGCTGTCGGTGTCTTATTCCTCCGTTATCAGAAAACATGTTTACTTAGTTTAGTTCATTAATTATGCACCCCATATATCGTCTTGTGGGCGGTAGTGGAAAAGGTTACAGAGGCACATAAACATGTCATAGCTCTTTATACTCTTGCTTTCTGGCTTTTGTGTGTCAGTGACTGCTCTTCTGTCTTCCCTAATTTCCTAAAATATTGCGGCTTTGACAGAAGAGATTGGAATGCCCATATCCCACTCAACTTCAGGCTTATCACATTCAGTTTTAGCTGCCTTGTTTGTGTCATCATGCTGGACAACACCTATATGAGAAGGTATCCATACAAATGAGACTTTGAAACTCCTACTGTTTGCAATAATAATGTTGTTTATAATGGAAGTTACAACTACAACCTTTTGAAGATCAATGCTAATTTTATCTAGATAATGTAATAAACGAAAGTTTTCTATGTCAACAGAAAGGCAGAAATATAAGCTACACTTTAAATACTTGTCATAAATATAGCTGAAGTGAAAGCGAAGATATATGCATTTGATACTGTACAGTTTCTTGATGGCTTGCTCTAAGAGTGTGAAGCCCTTCACACCAGCCTATAAATTGTGTAATTTATTTCCATATATGCTAATTAACCTTAAAATCTATATGTCAGAAGGAAGGAAGATGTAGACGTTAATGTGACAACATTTCAAGAAATATCTCTGTCTTTAAAGTTAAATAATACAATCCTATCGCCGGTGTCCGGACACATGAAAGCTACTTAGGTATCAGTGGCCAGCCAGGTGGAGATCACAGGCTGTACAATACTGATAAATTATGTAATTCACAGAGATACGTTGATAAATATTAATGTTTTACATTTCATTAAAAATGCAGATATATACTTTGTTTCATACGTTAAATGTAACAATATTTCAGTATATATTATATAAACATAGTATATATAATTCAGTATATACAATATATAATAAGTGTCAGACCACGGAGGAAGAATTGAAACAGGAATTTCCTTTAGTACTTTCTTATATTAATACATCTTCAGAACGAACCATTCCTTCTGAAGATGTATTAATATACGAAAGTACTTAGAGCATTCTATTGTGGTTTTAATATTGAACAATTATACATATACGAAACAGACAAATCTGGTGTCCGAAATAGTAAAAATATTAGTGTGCGATGTGATCAATGTAAGGGGGATATTGGGTGTGCCTCGTATCCCCTACAACAACAAGAAGTTCGAGAGCGATGAGGCCGCCACCTACTAGCTTCAGGATGTCGTCGAATCTAAATCAACAATATACTACCGCCGCTACTTTCTCGGAAACGTAAGTACCTGCCGCTTTACTTCTCTCACCCTGCCTAGCCTGGCCTGGCCTGACCTGGCCTAGCCAGACCTATAATAATAATAATAATTTTTATTTAGGTAAGGTACATACATAAAGAGATTTTACAAAGTTTGTTGGCTTTATAGATAGAGCTAGTATATACAATGCCTAAAGCCACTATTACGCAAAGCGTTTCGGGCAGGAAAAACATTAATGACTAAAGCTTAAAACTAATGGGTAAAAAGAATAAAATGTGTTGAGAACAAATAAAAATAGAGGTAAAAGAGGGGGGAACATTGTTGAAAAAGCAGCACAAATACAATTACAAATTATTACAGAAAATTACATTCAAACAGCGTTGATTTGAAAAAAACATACATGGGTTGACAACAGAGGGGTAAGGTAGGTTACAGGGAATTTATTAGGTATAGCTTCGTTTTTAACTTAAACTGGTTGAGAGAGGTACAGTCTTTAACATGGTTGGGAAGGTCATTCCACGGGCCCTTGATTTGTAGAGCATTTCTGGTTTGATTAAGTCGTACTCTAGGAATATCAAAACTATTTATTTCTGGTGTGGTGCTCATGGGTTCTGTTACAACCTTCTATGAAGCTTTTGAGATCAGGATTGGCATTATAGTTTAGCGTTTTATATATGTATAATACACATGAGAGAATGTGCAGTGACTTAATGTCTAACATATTCAGAGATTTGAGTAGGGGTACCGAGTGATGTCTGGGGCCAGAATTGGATATTGTCCTAATAGCAGCTTTGTGTTAAGTAATTAGAGGACGTAAGTGATTTTGGGTAGTAGAGCCCCAAGCACAAATACCATAGTTGAGATATGGATAGATAAGGGAGTAATAGAGAGTCACCAGGGCATGGCGTGGTACATAATATCTGATCTTAGAAAGAATGCCCACAGTTTTTGAAACTTTTTTTGATATGTTTAGAATGTGTCCCTGGAAATTCAGCTTGTGGTCAATGAGAATGCCAAGGAATTTGCCATCTAATTTGTTACAAATTTGGGTATTGTTTATTTTGAGATTTATTTGATTAGAGGATTTATTGCCAAACAGAATATAGAAAGTTTTGTCAATGTTAAGGGTGAGTTTGTTGGCAGTTAGCCACAGATGGACTTTATTTAGCTCAGTATTTACTGTGGCATTTAGAGCAAGGGGATCAGGACTGGAGTAAATGAAGGTTGTGTCGTCAGCAAATAGAATTGGTTTGAGGTGTTGGGAGGCATTTGGAAGGTCATTAATGTAGATGAGAAAGAGGAGAGGGCCAAGTATGCTGCCCTGGGGAACACCAATGTTGATGGGTAGGGTGGGAGAAATTGTATTTTTCACAGAAACACATTGGAGCCTGTCAGTAAGGTAGGATTTGAGGTATTGTAGGGAGTGTCCTCTGACTCCATAATGATGTAATTTAAGAAGAAGGTTTTGGTGGTTGACAGTATCGAAAGCTTTACGCAGGTCCACAAATAACCCAACAGGGAACTCATTTTTATCAAGAGCTGTATGAATCGAGTTAAGCATACTAATAAGTGCATCGTTAGTGCTTTTTTTGGGTCTGAAGCCATATTGGCAAGGGCTAAGTATATTGAGTTTGGCTAGATATGAGTAAAGCTGCTTATAGATTAGTTTTTCAAAAATTTTTGACAAGTTTGGCAGGATTGATATAGGTCTGTAGTTGTTAACATCTGTGAGATCACCACATTTGTGGACAGGCGTTACTCTCGCTTTTTTTAGAATATCTGGAAAGGTTTGGAGTTCAAGTGACTTGTTGAAGAGCAAAGCAATAGCAGGGG